TTAAAATCCCTAACTTGTATAGACAGGTGGCTGTATGTGAAAGTCATTGTTAAAATCCCTAACTTGTATAGACAGGTGGCTCTATGTGAAGATCACATTGTTAAAATCCCTAGTTTGTATTGGCAGGTGGCTGTATGTGGATATCTCATTGTTAAACTTCCTGGCTTTTATAGACAGGTAACTATATGAATATCACAGTGTCAAAATTCCTGGCTTTTATAGAGAAGTGATTCTATGTTGGGATTACATTATTAAAATCCCTGTGGCTCTATCTGAATGTCACATTGTTAAAATTCCTGGTATGTATAGACAGGTGACTATGTGAAGACCACATAGTTAAAATCCCCAGCTTGTATAGACAGGTGGCTCTATATGAAGGTCACATTGTTAAAATCCCTGGCATGTGTAGACAGGTGGCTGTATGTGAAAAAGTTGGTAACAATCTGAATTAACAAATGAAAAAGCTGTGCCACCATATAATTGCACATTAAGTTGGGAAATTTGTTAAAATCCATAATTTATTGAATATTAAAATTTTCCACTGTTATATTACAGTACTTAGTGAAGGGAATTACTTGATTTAGCATTTATAAAAAACAAAGATCACTGTGAAAGGTAGCTGTTACGTATTTTTTTTATCTTTATGGTCCCAGTGTTTCTCATTTTTAATTTGTAAATCTGTTTACATAATGAAAAATAGGTGATCTGAGGGCACTTTAAAATGACATTGAACATGCAAGCATATTCCTGTTTTTCTTTGGGCTATTGAATAAATATTTGTCCTTTTACTCAACTAAATTTAATCAAATTGATTAAGTCATTTTTTTATATGATATAGTTTATGAATGAAGTTTTTCTCACCTTAACAAATAGATATTTTTTAACTCATGGCTATGCAGTAATATTTTTACATCGTAGCAAGAGCCTTGAACCTTTCACTCGACATTTTCCCTCATCCTCCCTTCTTGAGGTACTCCATATTGCTCATGATCATCATGGAAAGGATTGCATTGCTGGTATGTTTTTACATTTAATTGAATTTTAAATTTTCAGTTATTTTTCTGTTGGACATAATAATGCTTAAGAAGTTTTAAGGAAGGATTAATAGAGTATTTAAATCCTAAATTTGATTGTATGTGCATATGTATAAGCATTGATGTTGTAACACATGTAAATACAGTTTATGTGAATTGCATTTGCTATATAAAAAAAATTCTGAATGATAATGCTGCCTTGAGATAGAACTTAGAGTGAGGTTTTGGTTTCTATTTATTGATTGTTTATAGCTCATAGATATATATACAAATTCAAAATAGCTTCTGAGTGGTTGAAAATGGATATGTATTCAAATTTCTTAAGTTGAGCCTTTAATCATCAAAGTTCTATCAGAAGTGATTTTTTTTATGGTATTAACAAATTTAGACTCCTTTTAATCAATTTATTATAACATAACATAATGTTTTGGGACAACACATGTAACCGATTGGTCCATATCAGCTGTTCCATCTCCTAAACTAAATAAAAATAAAATAAAGATCTTAAAGCCAACTGTTATCATTCATATACTTATCAAACTTTTCTTAAACTCACTTAAATTTACTGTCTCTACAACATCTGAAGGCAACCCATTCCAAAGACCAACCACCCTGTTAGAAAAATGAAAATGTTTTAGCTGAAGATGATTCCTACCTTGCCAAAATTTATATTTGTGTCCTCTAGTTCTACTATTCTCACTGTTAAGTATGAAAAAAGATGATGCATCAACACTATCAGTTCCCTTTACAATCTCAAACACTTCAATCAGATCCCCCCTAACTCTTCTTTATTCAAGAGAAAACAATTTGAAAGATTTCAGCCTCTCGTCGTATGACAACCCCTCCATCCCAGGCACCATTCTAGTAATCCTTCTCTGAACCATTTTCAACAATTCAATGTCCTTCCTAAGGTAAGGAGCCTAAGACTGAACACAATATTTCAAATGTGGCATAACCAGTGACCTGCTGTACAATGAAAGTATAACCTCTTTAGACTTGTATTTAATATATCTATAGATACAACCTAAAATCCTATTTGCTCTGCCACTAGCAACAGCACACTTCTTGGATGGCTTTAGAGACTGATCAACCATTTCATCTATGTCATTGATGTAAATCAAAAAGAGCAGAGGTCCTGAGACTGAGCCCTGAGGTACCCCATTTGTGACATTAATCCAGTTTGACTGAACTCTACTTGTAACAACCCTCTGCCTTCTTCCATCCAGCCACTCTTTTATCCAATTTGCTAAGTTATCCCCCACACCTATAGAGCTAATTTTTTTTTACAAGCCTCTTATGTGGCACCTTGTCAAATGCTTTCTGAAAATCCAGAT